CAATTGAGAAAAGCATGAAGCAGCGCGAATGCAATGGCATATGCGAGCAGCACACAACGCAGTTGCATCGACAGTTCCGGCTACTTTTGTCGCTCCCCCAGCCAGCTTCACGTCATGGCTTCAACTTGGGCCTGCAAGCAAGCCGCCGCATGTGACTGCAACTCACGGTCATACTCGCGAGTGTGATGCCACCGCAGCCCTAGTAAAAGTAGCAATCGCTGGAGCGTCCTCTCCACCACACGAACCGATGAGCACTTCACCGCAATTCGCTTCAGATGGCCCAAGAAACTTTCTTCCTGGAAACAACTGCAGGATAATCTTGGGTTGATCCTTGTTCTGGGTACCTCGTCGGAGAAGTGATCCAGCACATGATGTTTTGGTCGAAGCTTCCACCTTCGAATGCCAAGCTCACAGTACTTGCCCGCCAAGTATTGCCAGTGGAGCAGACTTTGGCGAAGCAGATCTCCGACTCGCTTTGCTGCGTCCACTGGTAGAAGCAGATCGTGCATGTCCAAAACGGACATCGCCTCGTTCAGAGACCAAATGCAAGTTGTGCTCGCTTTGAGCATCTCATCCTAAGCAAACAACCAAACGTCACTGGAGCTTCTTACTGGCAGCAACAAAACAAAACACGCATAGCAAACATCGGAACAAGGAGCATCTGTCCCGGTCGTGAGCTCAACAGCTTTGACGGTGAGGAACCACATTATGATCTTTATCTCAGCAGCTTTCCACGTCGAAGCCAGTTCCGGAAACTCCGCTTTGCCAAGATTGCAGTTCGCCGGCGTAAAGAATTTTCGGCGGCATGATAGCCTCAGCTTTCATGCAGCGCGAGTCCAAGAATTAGGGACACGGGCAACGTGAATGAAGACGGTGCTTGAGAGCCGTAGGAACAAAACCCTGTGCACCGAGTCACCTGGCCCGTTTGCATGTCTTATGCATTTCGATAGACAGGAGCCTCAGCCTCTCATGGAGAGTGTTCGCTTGCGGAAGCAAATCTGCGTCCAACCATTGTGCAAGGACTGAGGGCAGGATGTCCCTACAAACACCCAAGTAGATGACATGCATTGGATCGCGAGTGCAGCTTTCCAGGGTCCACCCGGACATGCATATCCATGGTGACAACTGTTCCGGTGGCGTCAGTGCCACATAAGTTCGATGACTTATGCGGCTCAGACGGTGAGCAGCTGATAGATTAAAGTTGCGATAGTTCATCAAGGGCTCGGTTGAATCGGCAGGCTTGCAAGCGAAGCAGGACTCGCACACCAGGTTGCACCCGTAGTGCCGAGAGAAAAAATTGCATTGGACTCTGGCTTTGAGGTCGTACTTCATGGAATGGAATGCACCCCTGCAGGGATGCGATGCTGAAAATGAACTCGGCCCGCAAGGATATGTCATGCGTGGAAAAAAAGACATGTGGAAACAAGACACTTCGATGCCTCCATCCCTGGGCCAACTCAGCCCCTGCTAAGCGACGACGAACACTCTTCAGTTCAAACTCTTCGCCGTGGAAGCCGACGCTTGGAAACCTGCCTTCAGCGGCAAATTTCATCGACCAGGCCAAGAGCTGCGCCACATGTCTATGAACTCCATCACGAACCTGTTCGCACATACATTTCTGTCAGCACAGCCGTTTCAACATGCAGCTGAGCAGCTTCATTCAGGGACATGAGTTCGTGCGGCACGATGACGCACGGAAACTTGATGTCCCACACCTGCATAGATGTGGGATGGGTTCCCCGTGCAGACGCATCCGCGGCAACGGCTTCATGCAGATTAGAGGCATCTCCAGTTGCAAACAGAGATGAGCAAGACCAGACCACGAACTCGCAGTTGGAGTAGAACTCCGCCCCATCACAATGGAAATTGAACGGGAGCAGTCCTCTAGTATATGGACGGACAGCAGGTTTTTGGTGACATGTCCTATCTACCTGTTGTTGCAAGCCAGAATCTGTCAAGCGGGGCTTGGCCTTGCAAAACGGGGTGAGCTGCAAACTCGTCCAAAGTTTTGCAATGCTTCCAGAATTCCTCAATCGCTGCACCATCGCGATGTCCCGTCATTGACTTCGCAAACTGCAGGGAAACATAGTACAACGGACAGAACTCAGGCAACTTCCTCTACTTAGGATGTGAAGCGTGCCTGGCACGTTCCTGCGCGAGCCAGAGCGTGAAGGATCTCGTGCGGTAGCAGCACAGGCATCTGCACTTCTTCAACTTTCACAGAAGTTGGTACCTGCGTGTGCAATTACTTGTCCGGATGAGCTACACGCGAAAGGAAGCTACATGCGAAAGCAAGCCTGCAGCTTCATTGTCGTCCAATAAATTTCCAGGCTAACTTCATGAAGGCCATGCAGCCAACGATGGAGGTCTCGTTCTTCATGCCCGGGCTGCTTGCCAAAGCCACCCAAGGAGGCGAACATTTCCACGCTCGGCATTACATGCCCATCCAAGAGTTGAGCACGTGCGATTTCAGCCACCGTGTGTACATGGATTTTCCCGGATCCGATCATGCCTATCCAAAACTTGCAGCGAGCAATTGCGTGCTTCTTTGTGTAGGCACTCGAGCACACAGACAAGCTAACATTGAAGCCAAGCTGCGAATAAACTCATCAGCTTCATAGCTGTAGGGAAGCTCTTCCAAGCGACTTCGCTTCACGCTCCTGGGTGTGACTGCGAGAGCCCTTTGTGTTTCACAGCATGCAGCTCTTCATGCATTCACTGCTTGCAAGCGCAGCTCCACGTGATTGTGACAGCGAGAAGTAACAAGGTCTTTTTAATGCAATGAAAGCATGACCATCTTTGTGTGCCACGGAGCCTCTCTCCGGCTTGGTAATCACATAGGGTCCTTGGTATGTTTGCGGACGGGTCTGGATTTTAGGGCGCCGGGGCTGGGGTTGAGGGTTCACAAAGAAACTTCGCGAAAAGTGCGGATATGTTCGCATCTGTATCTTTACAACGAAACTAGTTGAGGCTAACTGACTTCGGTTAAACAGGGAGTTGGGTCGTCGAATTGAAGAACATCCGGGCTGTATAACCCCAATAGCCAAGCATAACAGGTTCCCACCAAAAGGTTCGTGCAATCGTCGGCGCGATCATCCCTATAAGCTACAGACCATTTCGTTGCGAGAACGGTTTCGGCACATACCCAAAAACTCTTTGAAGCTTTACCCGGGAACCTGACACGTTAAACTTTCCCTAAGCCCTAAACCGAAGCCTGAAGCCCCCGGCCAAAAAAACGCCTCGAACCTTGTATAAATACATACATACATATATATATATATATATATATTATAATAATAATAAGTACACCCTGCACCTCGCACCTTAAACTTTCCCTATAAAAACCAAATAACAGAAACTCAAGCCCCCGGCCAAAAACGTCCTTGAACATTGGACCTTGAACCTCACAACTTGCCTTAACCCCTAAACCGAAACTTCAAGCCCTGTCCCAGCATCCAAGTGACCATTTCTCAGACGATGATCGCTTTCGCCTGTGCAAAGCAGTGTAAAGTCCATAATATTAGTAAGGATTTTTTGTTTCTGGGTTTAGCCTAGTTTTATTCTCGGCTGCATGGTTGGGCTGTAGGGTTTCCTGTACGTTTCGACATTATTTGGGATTGCTTGGTAGGTATCAAAGCAGTGTAAAGTCCATAATATTAGCAAGGATTTTTTGCTTCTGGGTGGATCCTAATTTTAGTCTCGGCTGCATGGGGTCTCGATGCTTGTGCTACCGTTTGCAGAAACACCAGCCTCGGCTCCGTGGTTACAGGCTTTTCAAACGCTCTGATGGTCTTTGGGGGCGTTCTTGTGGGGAATCTAACGGGCTCTAGAATCCATACTTCCCGGTATTTTCGCCTTTACAGTTTGATATAATGATCGTGAGCTGGCAGATATAACTGCAGCTGATGCTCATGTTGCTGAAATGTACTATGTGTTTTTGTAACACATCTTGTAACCGTGAAGATGGTAGATGTACGGTGTTTTGGCAACACAGATTCCTGCTTACAACCTCTGCAGCAGTATTATGTGAGGTGCAGGCTTTCAGACAGCTTCAACCAGCGAACCTTGTTCCAGACGACGTGTCGTCGCGAGCGCACGTGCCTGCGGGGGATTGGCTATTTAAAGGGCTCTCGCTTTGGGTGCCCCCCACGTGTTCTGGGCACAAACATGAGCTGTAACCCCATCGCACACATTTCTTTTCCCAGCAAAAACTCGCGCAGGAGCGATATGCTCTGCATGAATCAAAAACGGTGTCAGCTCTTCAAACCTCGACTGCATCGTGCTTCTCCACATAACCGTTGTCACTATAGCTATATGTCGGTGCAATAACAGACGTTAACGAGCTCACACAATGGAAGCATCCTCTTCTTTGCTCGGGCTTTCACGACCCTCTAGGCTTTGGCTTCTGTGCTCACACTCGGTTTTTTGGACTCTTTCTTTGCTTTGGGCTTCCTCCTCGAAGTGGATGTGAACGACTTGGCCGCTGCCTGATAGGGTGGGTGCAAATTGTGCGCTCAGAGGGTCAGCCTTTCAGGGAGATTAACGTAAAATCCATCTGGTATTTCGGTGCTAAAGCTACTTGTAGTTGTAGTATCGGGTTCTACTAACTGATCGTTTTGGGCTGTAGGGTTTCCTTTAAACATTATTTGGGATTGCTTGGTAGGTATCAGGGCAGTGTAAAGTCCATAATATTAGTAAGGATTTTTTGTTTCTGGGTTTAGCCTAGTTTTATTCTCGGCTGCATGGTTGGGCTGTAGGGTTTCCTGTACGTTTCGACATTATTTGGGATTGCTTGGTAGGTATCAGGGCCGTGTAAAGTCCATAATATTAGTAAGGATTTTTTGTTTCTGGGTTTATCCTAGTTTTATTCTCGGCTGCATGGTTGGGCTGTAGGGTTTCCTGTACGTTTTGACATTATTTGGGATTGCTTGGTAGGTATCAAAGCAGTGTAAAGTCCATAATATTAGCAAGGATTTTTTGCTTCTGGGTTGATCCTAACTTTATTCTCGGCTGTATGGGTTTTCGATGTGTGTGCTACATTTTGCAGCAACACCAGCCTCGGCTCCCTGGAACCATTCCAACTTCTCCTTGGCGAAGGCGATGAACTCGTCGAAAGTCTTTCCCTCCTTTTTGTCCTTCTTCTTCAGGAGGGCTTTGTTCACCTTGACGTACGATTTCTCACACGTTTCAGCAAACGAAATCAGCTCGCTTCCAAGCTTGTCGCTGTAATCGATACCTTGCAAGGCCAACGATAGCTTTCTCGCATCGCCGATGGCTTTCAATAAATCCTTCGAGAGATCCTCCGCATGGTCTCTGGCCGTGGCCGGTTCCACGGGGTCGGCGGTACCTTCACCCTTTTGCTTCTTCGGCTTTTTGGTTCCCTTCGCAGTCGGTGCTTCTGCTATGCTGTCCACCAGAGCTTTTTCCCCGGCCACAGTCGCGACTTTCACCGCCGGCATGGCGCCGGCCGCAAACACTCCATCAGGACCTGTGAGTTCCGCCATCACATCGGAATCTTCCACTTGCATTGAAGCCGTCATGTTGGCTCTCTCGGATGCGATGTTGTCGACGTTCACTTTTCGGGGTCTGTTGAGGTAATAATAGATTTCGGTCTCGTCTTCTGGAAATTCTGGATCGTAGTAGAAGCGTCCCTGTTCACGAGTCACGGGAAGAACATGTTTGTTGGGTTCAGGGTTCAGGGTGTGGGGTCTATAGGTCTATGGACTTAGGGCCCTGATGAGCTACACTTTTGCCCGCACTCCTCTGCTTTCAGCTTGGCGCACAACTTTTGCGTTTTGACCTCATCATAAATCTTTGCGATTTCGTGCTGCTTCATTCCTTGCGCTCCTGAGCGCGAGGTAATCTTTTTCTCGCGAACCCGCTCGACGTGAACTTTCACCCTCGGTTCGATGATGTGGCATGATGAATCAGTAACTATCTGGTCCCGAAGAAGAAACTGTTGTTGAAATTTACAAACAAATTGTAGTGCCGAAAAGGTGCTTCTGGAGATCCTTGCCGTTGCTTAGCCACAGGTTGAAGAGGTCGGTCTTGTTCTTCTCGTAGTACTCGCTCAGCTCAACCGGAAACACCTTGCGATTTTTGCACTCGCGGGTAAACGTGTCCCACTCCTTCTTGTTTGTCGTACCTTGGCTTCGATCATGCAATGCAATGTATATAAAAATAATCCTGCAACTAGACGCTCATTCCATCCAGTTCTGCTCCGTGCAGTTTCAATTCTTTCGACACCTTCAGCTTAAACTTAACCAAAACTTAATCAAGCCACTGTTGGCTTTGGCCTGCGTCGCGTCTCCCGCGTTGGCCGCAACCAAAGCCAAGTTGGCACCCGCCGGCAGGGTCGTCACTGGTCCTGCCGCCACAACAGCCAAGCTTTCTGCTGCAGGGGCTGCAGAGACTTGCTCCTTCTCTCCATCAGCACCGTGCTGATCCTTTTCATCAGCACAGTCTTCCTCCTCCCCCTCACTCTCCTCCTCGTCCTCAGAAGAGGAAGAGGAACCGCCGCTGCTGTGGGAGGCGTCTGACTCATCGTCGCCTGGGCCCGAGCCATCCTCTTCAGCGTCATCGTCGGAGCTGGCAGCCACGACTGCACTCGATGACGCCTCATCTTCGGATGACTTCCCGGATTCCTCCGTAGCTTCCTCGTCGCTCACCGCGAGCTCCCCAAGCAGGTTGTCCAAGTACTCTGCATTGATCTCGGTGTCCTCCACATATTGCAGCAGAAACTAATTAAAGTAATCGAAAGTCGCTTCGGTGTTTATCTGACAACCCATAACCCAGTCCTGCGTCTCAAAGTCTGGCAACAGGTTCTTGGGTGTTGCTGGGGCGTCACTGGCGGTGGCCTCCGAAGTTGGCCCAGGCTTCGACTGGTCCTCCTCAGAGGATTGCTCGGCTGCCTTTGTTTTCTCTTTTCTCTTCTTTTCCTTCCGCTCTTTCTTCTCCCTCTTGGCCTGTGCGTGCTTAGCCTTCTTCCTGCTTTCCTTGGTGTCTTTCGGGACCTCGGGTGTGGTCTGCTTGCTGCCTACGGGGCCTGTGGGGGCTTCGGCTTTGCTTTTGCTGTCTGTCTGGCCCTCGGCTTGCGGCTTCTTGCTGGCTGCAGAAGGCTTTGGCGGCTTGCTGTCTTTCGTGACCTCGGGTGTGCTTTGCTTGTTGCCCGCGCTCGCAGGCTTTGCTTTCTTAGCAGCAGGCTCTTCTGCCTTCGGGAAACTTGTGGGCTTCAGGGCTGACTTTCGCTTGGCCGTGCGGGGTGACGTCTTGGCTTTGAGTCTGCGAACAGCGGGCTTGGGGCTGGCTTCCCGTTCTTTCTTTGTCTTCGAGGCTGTCTTGTCTTTAACCTTCTTTTCCTTCTTCACTTTCTTCGCTTTCTTATCGATCGCCATCGCCCGGAGCACAGGTTTGATGCTTCTAGCAACACAAGTCACAGCACCATGCACATAACACCACATAATTGCTGCCCTCGAAACTTCACTTATGAGGCATTCCCAC